CATATGTTTAGCGACTTCTTTCATATGTTTAGCGACTTCTTTCATATGTTTAGCTACTTCTTGCACATGATTAGCTATTTTTGTATCAGGTCTCTCTTGTAAATGAGTCTTCGAGGCTCAATGGGATTTACCTGTCTAAATAAAGGTTGATTGATTTAGCATTTTTTTGCTACCTTTGGCTGCTGTTGACTAATTTTAACATTTAATTACCTTTCAGCAAACTTTTACCTGTTGTTTTGCTACTTTGGATGCTGTTTTCCTAATTTTAACTGCGTTTCTGCTTTTTTTTAGCTTTTAGCTCCATTGTTGGTCATTTCTGATGGTTTCGGTCATTTTAGCTACAGTTTTGGTAATGTTTTGCCTTTTTTTAAGCTTTAGAGTACGCTCTGCTAGTTTTAGAATTTTTTTGTTCATTTCGGCTCCTGTTTTCTTAACTTTCAGCTACCTTTCTGTTACTTTCATCCATCAGTTAGCCGTTTGGTAATTTTAGCTACTGTTTAGTTGTTTTGTGTTGGACTTAAGAAGAGTTAAAGAGCTTTGGCTTCATGTTTTAGGAGAATATTTAGATTCAGTGGAAGTTTGTTCTCATCTGCTCACACAGACTCATGTTCGTGCTGCTGTTGTTCGGCATAGTGTTTTTGTACTATAGTGCTTAGTGTATTTCTTAGTTCATATCTTAGATCTTATCACTGTTTTCTTTACAGTTTACACTTTTGTTGGATGTAACCGGGCCCCTGTGTACAGTTTCATTCCACCACATGTACCACATATGATGAGAAAGACAAAGAAACCTTGAGTTTTCTGAGCAAAGGACTTCCTGTAATAATGAGTCACTTCCTGGTGTCACAACAACAAGAAAGAGAAACTGCAGGATTAAATAAAATGGTGAATAAAACACTTCAAAGCTTCTGATTTAAACAAAAATAAGAAGCCTTTTCTCTCATAAAACATCCGACTTTAGTTTGATGTTTAGTTATCTTGTTCGTGAAGCACTTCAGTCGACTTCAGCTGTCTTTAATGTGCTTTATGAATTATTTACAACTCATTTAAAAATCTACTTTAGTTAGAAATACTCCCAATCAGCAGGAAGACCATTTTAAAACTTTAAACTCATTCTATTGATCTTTACCATCAGATTTCGTCATCTGAACAGAAACCAAACACCCACAGCTGGTCTGGACATCTCAGCTCAGGTCGACCAGCTCGTGTAGTTTATATATTTAATAAGATCAAATGTAATAATGATCGTGTTTAGTGACGGATCAGATTTCATTCATTTCGAATGACTGCAGCTACATGACAGCAGCCGCTGTTAGCTTGTGGTTAGCTCGCTCCTTTATCTTATATACAGAGGGTTTCATTCAGTTTCAAGACTGACATGAAGTTAAATACGTGTAAACAGATCTTAAATCACAAACAAACAGAAATAAAAACCGGAAACTAACAGCTAACATCTCTGCAGCTGACGAAACGCACACATGCTAACAAGCTAGCTGCCGGATAGCTAAGCTAATGTTTCTCTTACCCACAGATACTTGGGCCACACCTTTCGTTATCTCCGACGCCATGACGTAAAACAACCGTCCACTGAAGACAAAACTGTGAAATGTTATTTAAAATGTGAAGATGGACCCTGAAAACCGTCCGCATGAGACGTCTGTTGAACCTGACATGCAACTTTGCGTCAGCCCTGCCGCAGCTTCCGAGAAGGCGGAGACTCGTTTTCATTAGGAGACGTCTGATTGGTCAAAACGTTTACGTCACTCAAAACAATGAATTTGATTGGTTAAATCTAATGCGCTATCCAGGGTAAGAAAAATATAATGAGAAGTCAGGTTGACTCCCAGCAATAAAAAAGTGACATATTTAGTCGTTATGATGCGTTAGTTGTTATTTAAAATTTATCTTATAATGTGAAAATTCAGATATAAATACGTTACACAAGTCATTGTGTTTTTCACAGCAATAAAAAAGAATTTATGACTTTCAGATCGTCTTTCAAGTTCAAGTCAACTTTATTGTCGTTTCCATCACGTGGTACATGAGGTGGAACAAAATTATGTGCACAGGGTCCCAGTTGCTCCCAAAAATAGCAAAAATATAAAGTATAAAAATAAACAGTATATACAGATCAAAGATATACACTAAGATATATGCTATAACACTAATAATGTAAAACCATACGAGGTAACAACAACAGCCTGAACATGAGTCTGTGATGAGCAGATGAGTGAATACAGCAGCATGAGATAATCAGCAGCATGAGATAATCAGCAGCATGAGATAATCAGCAGCATGAGATAATCAGCAGCATGGGATAATCAGCAGCATGGATAAGTCACATATTCATTCATTCAACCTTTATTTAGACGGTAAATCCCATTGAGCCTCGAGGACTCATTTACAAGAGAGACCTGATTTCAACAAAGAAAGATGACAACAATGGACAAGTATAAAAAGGCATACAGATTTTTTGTTTATTTATTTTTTACAAATAAGATGGCAAAAATAAAAGTAACAAAAACAGCTAGATCCTAAGGCGAATGTAGAAACTAACAACAGGAACATGTCTGCATTGGTCCCTGCCAGGAGTCCAACAGATTCTTAAAGCCACTTAGAGAGGTCAAAGGTCAAGAGCTTCAGATCTTTTTACAAGATGTTCCAGGAAACAGGAGCGGAGTAGGAGAAGGTCCTTTTGTCTAGTTCAGTCCACACTGAGGGAACACTGCAGGTAATAATGTCCTGAGAGCGCACGCTGTAGCTGCACTCACACAGAGACATGTAGGAGGAGATGTATGAAGGCAGCAGACCAGGAAGTGATTTAAAGATGAAGATGTACCAGTGAGAGAGTCTGCGTGAAGTTACTGGTGACCAGTTAACCAGTGAAAACTGGGAGCAGTGGTGGGTACGATAATCACAGCCAGTTATGAATCTTAGTGCACCATGATAGACAGCATCCAACATCTGCAGCATCCAACATCTGCAGCATCCAACATCTGCAGGGTTCTTGTAGGAGCGTTCATGTAAATAATGTCACCGTGATCAATGGAGGGAAGGAAAGTCACAGATACAAATCTCCAATTAAAGTGTCATCACAGTGATCATTCTGGTTAAAGATTCATGAGTCTAACAGCCTCAGGGTAGAAGCTGTTCCTCAGTCTAGTGGTTCTACACTTAATGCTCCTCAACCTCCTTCCTGAGGGGAGTGGGGCAAAAAGTGTGTGTGCTGGGTGAGTGGGGTCCTTCATGATGCAGGTGGCCCTCTTCCTGCATCTGGAGGTGTAGATGTCTGTGATGGTGGGGAGACTGACTCCAACATCTTCTGTGCAGCCTTCACCACTCTCTGCAAAGCTTTTCTTTCTGCAGCTGTGCAGCCTCCATGCCACACGTTGATGCTGGAGCACAGGATGCTCTCCACTGCACACCTGTAGAAGGAGGTGAGGACTGAGCTTCCAGACCAGCTCGCCTCAGCCGTCTGAGGAAGTAGAGTCTCTGATGAGCTTTCTTCATCAGGCTGGTGGTGTTGTTGCTCCAGCTGAGGTTGTTGTTCAGGTGTACACCCAAGTACTTGTAGCTGGAGACCACTTCCACCGCAGATCCTCTTATGTTCAGTTGTGTGTGTGTGTGTTTGTTCTTTCTGAAGTCCACACTCATCTCCTTTGTCTTCTTCACATTGATGTGGAAGTTGTTCTTCCTGCTCCAGCTCTCCAGGTGTTCCACCTCCTGCCTGTAGCTGGACTCATCATTGTTTGTGATGCATCCCACCACCACTGTATCATCTGCAAACTTTACAATGTGACAGCCTGGATGGGTAGCTGCACAATCATATGTGAGCAGAGTGAACAGGAGGGGGCTCAACACACATCCCTGAGGAGAGCCAGTGCTGAGGGTTATGGTGGAGGAGGAGTTGTGGATCCTCACTGACTGGTCTGTTTGTTAAGAAGTCCAGGACCCAGTTACAAATGGAGGGGCTTAGTCCTAGTGTGAATAGTTTGTCCATCAGGGTTTGGGGGATCATGGTGTTGAAGACAGACATAAAGTCCACAAAGAGCATACGGACTAAGAGTCCTGCTCCAGGTGGGTGAGAGCAGTGTGGACCACAGAGGAGATGGTGTCTTCTGTTGATCAGTTCTCATGGTATGAGTACTGATGAGGGTCCTCGTTGATGTTGGTTCTGATGTGAGTCATGACCAGTTTTTAGAAGCATTTAGCGACTATCAGGGTGAGGGCTACTGGTCGATAGTTATTCAGACCAGTCACTGTAGAGCTTTTATGAACTGGGATGATGGTGGTGGTCTTCAGGCAGGTGGGAACTGTCTCCAGGGTGAGGGAGGAGTTAAAGATGTCTGCCAGCACCTCGCAGAGCTGATCTTGTCTTTGAATGTAGCATGAAGAAAATATTGACTTCCGTCAGTTTTCGTGTCAGGAAGTGTCGTCAGGCGCGGTTTAATTTTTATTTGTTATAAAACCAACATAATTTTAGGGAACCGCCCGAAGCAGAAACAGATTTAATGTGAGACGCATCGTCTTCAGCTGATTTAAATTCAGTTCAGTTTATTCATAAAGCGCCAAATCACAACAAAGTTGTCTCAGGGCACTTTACAGGAACATTCACATAAAAGCCAATTAGTAAAGTTCTCCATCTAAACATCATATTTCACATCAGCTAAATACACGAGCTTCAAGACGCCGAAGGTCTGAACTATTTTCAGCAACTTCGGCTGTTTCTGTAAACAAACATGGAACTAGGTCTCAAATCTTTTAAGAACACTTTAACAACAAGTGAGAAAAACAATGTGAACCTTTCATTTCTAACTTTATGATTTTTATTTTTTGTTTTAATAACTTTACCACAGAAGAGGATCAGGGCTACGGTAAAAACGTGTACAATTATTTTTTTAATCTTACAAAATAATTCTTAAAAATATCTGTTCCGACTTTATCCTGATGCATGCTCAGCTGGTTCTGGTTGTCAGCAGCAAACTGGTTGATCCACTCTGAGAAGGTGCTATTTAAGAGACTGAGCTGAATACAGCACCTCAGACTGAGGAAGTCCTCAGGATGAGAGACGAAACGTTTCTACATTTTTTTGTTGATTTGCTTTGTTTTTTTGAATGTCCAGAGGACCAGATTTAACTTTTTTAGATGTTCCGACTTTAATTTTGGAGTAAAAAATAAAAGTCAGAATTTTGGAATAAATAATTACTGTGGCACTAATCTTGTTCCGTATTTATTGTTTTTTTATTGCCCATAAAAACACGAGACGTGACACACCTGCCTTTGAAAAAGGATTGTATTTTATTTACAGTGATTTTAACAGAATTTAAAGACGGAGGACGTTGTGGACGCAGCTCTTCGGCCTCCTCTTCCTCCCTCTCGCTCAGTGACTCTCTCCTTTCTTCCCGACAACCTGCGGTACGATGAAACGAAAGCGTCGGACGAGAAACTCGGCTGAAGGTGAATAAAACTCAAACCCGTTTCGTACCCGCTTGAAGTCGCTCATGTTGGTGGCCTGAACCGGAGTGCCGATGAACGTCAGGTAGTTGATTTTTGTCGTCTCCTCGTCTCCTCGGTTCGACTTCACGAACAACTGCCACGAAAAGAAAAGAGCTTTAACTGAACCGAACCGAGGAAGAGGCTCCGAACACACCCGGACTCTGGACCGAGGAACACGAGACTCCGATTCGTTTCAGGGATTCAGAGAAAACGTTTTAGGAAGCAGCTTCAGAGACGGTTAGAAAACACAAACAAAAACATGTCAACAAATTGTTTGTAGTCGTTTTGTAAAAGCAGGTAAACAAAAAACTAGTGACGTCTATGACGTGATACGGAAGAACGAACATACCAAATGTAAGAATTACAAAAAGATAAGTGTTAAAACAATTTGATTAAAATAATTTATTACATCTATACATTTTGTTTTCATTATTTGAACTAGATTTTTTTTATTCTCATGTTAAAGTTTTATTTATTATTTCTTTGTTTCGTTACATCGTTAAATTTTTTCCAAGCAGATTAATTAGATTTCCATCACTGTGTAAATAGCAGCATATCATTTATCAGATTATCTTCACCTGCAGGAAAAACAGGATACACTGCGAGAAAGGTTTGGCTTTTTCTTTAAATTTTATAAAATCAACTGAATTAACATGAGCCCTCACTGCCTGTTGAAATTATTTTAAAAAAGCTTTATTTTATTTTGGCAGTGCCAACAGGAAGTGCTGTTTTAGTTTTCCTGTTTCCTGTTCTGTTAAATGTGGTTTGTTCCCCGATAATCAACAGACAAATGAGATTATGAGCCTGGAAGACGAAAACTCTACATGTACGGTAATTATACTATTAATAAGCTTGGGGGGGGGGGACATGTATAAAACACAAAAAAACACAAAAAAAGTAAAAAAATAAATAAAATAAAAGCAGAAAAATTCATGAAAAATAAGTTTCATTAGTTGTGTTAAAGATCGAGTCAGTTCGATATATTTTTCATTTCATGCTTAATTTTGGCAGCTTCAGAGCTCCACCTCAGAGCCCTGACATGGATCTGGCCAAGTGTCAGAGAGCTCCAGTCAAATCGGAGCTTTCAGCTCCAACCAGCAGGCGGCGAGTCCACCCAGCCTCGTCCCTGGTCCTTCTTACCGTGACGCTCTGGACGTTCTGAAACTTGACGTAGCGCAGCGGAATCAGACCGTCGTCTTTGTAGTCCTCCTCCGACAGCTCCAGAGTCTGGGTGGCTTCGCTACGCTCGGCGTCGTCGAAACCCATCGACCGAGGAAGGTTGATGAAGAGCTTCATCACCTTAGGGGCCTGAGCTGAAGAGCAAAGACGCATGGGAGGACAGGACAGGGGGACGGAGGGACAGGGGGACGGAGGGACGTTACAAAAAAACAAAACGTTTTGTTTACATTTTTCTGTACTTTGTGCTGTTTTAGCGTTCTCATATGAAAAGTTTCGATACATATATATATATACATATATATGTATACATATACATATGTATATATGACTTCTTCCAGCCGTTGGCTACTGTTTTACTTCTTATAGCTTTTTGCTAATGCTCTGCTTTTTTTAGTTATCAGCTAGGGTTCTGCTAATGTTAGCTGGTGGGTGTTCTACTTCTTTTAGCTAGTGTTCTAATGGTTTTAGCTGATGTTGTGCTTATTTAGCTGATGTTCTCCAGCAGTATTTACGAGTATTTTTATAGAATAAAACTCACCTAAATCTGAGCAGAGCAGCTTCATGGAGAAAAGCTTCACCGGTTGACTGAAGGCGATCGTTACCAACAGCTGAAGGACAGAAAACAGCCGAAACTTTATTTAACTGAGAGAAAATTAAATCCAACAAATTCTGATAATTTGTCAACCATTTTAAACAGGTTCACTCGTTCATACGGCTCGTGTTCCTACCTGGTTATAAACAGGTTCACTCGTTCATACGGCTCGTGTTCCTACCTGGTTATAAACAGGTTCACTCGTTCATACGGCTCGTGTTCGTACCT